GCAGTGTAGTACATTGAGGTCAGCCCGGGTTAACGATAAGAGCATTTGTAAAACTGCCTGCGTATATAGCTGGCAATGATTCTGCCTCATCTTGATTCGTCTGAAGTTTAGTGTAGTTTAAACATGGTATCATACATAATAAAATTTATGAATGTTCTGTACACAATGCAGCTTTGGGCATCCTTTGGGCATTAGGATGAAGATGATATCTTACAGAATGAAATATACACAGGATCTGTACATTATACACAGGATCTGTACATTATCTGGCTTTGAGTATCCTTTATTTGGGCGATACTGTCTGAAAGGGGATATTTCATGTTATTGTATTTCTGGGTTCATTTGATTCCACTGCGCGTCAAACCGATATGGATCACCGTGTAACCGGCGGATATTACCGGCGCTACATGCTCCCGCCGACCGACAGACATCTCACAGACCAGGCCGGCACTCAGTAATACATCACCGTCCTCGGCGTCAATACTGTCAGCCGGCGGTCTATCATTTCTCTCTGGTCATCCAACACGGCGGTCTGTCACTACGGCATTCTTTCCCATTGCTATGCGCGTTCTAAAAGGTATCGAGTTACAAGACGCTATTTTGGCCTGTTTTGGACTACCCGTAAAATATTTGAAAATACACAAATAATATTTAGGGGTAAATTTCGTCAAATTAAAATAAAATTATCGTCTTAACATCCTTTAAATGTTAGCTTTTTATGTTAAATCAATGATTTTTTAAAATTTCGCTCAGAAAAACGATCATTTTCGGGTTTCCGAGCACATGTCATGTCACGTTTTTAGGCAAATATCGTTCAAACCTGGCTACGTATATTACCCCAGATCCCCGATTTTTATATTTTTCGCAGACTAGGAATAAGACAAAAAATCGTGTTTTAGGGACTTTTTAATTTCTGATTTTAAGTCTAGTTTTTGTCGACATTTTGGTGAAAAAATGGCATTTTTTGACATTTTTCTCACTAAATTACCCATAATTCAAAATTGAGGCCATTTTTCAAAAATCCCTAAAACACGATTTTCGGGACAACCGTTACAGTCATTTTGAGCCGTAAATGGGGTATGTTTGACTCTCCATGTTTCCAGGTTTGAACGAGTTTTGGAGACATGTCATATCGCCAGAAAGTGTGCATTGTGTTATTCATACTGGTGTAAAGAATCATTACAGTATTCAAGGTCACTCAAGGATACGACAGTAGCTTCGCTACATGTTACATACCCACCAAAAATAATAGCGGACATGTACTGTCCAGGATACTGTTTGTATCTATGAAAAGTGTTGTTTTTTATCTGTTGCAATGCACGGAGGCAGAAAGGCTTGTTTTGCCGTTTTATAGTAAATGACCGCAGGTGACCCCGAAATAGAACGCGGGTTCGATTCGAATTCCCCAGATCGAACACGATCGAACACAGTTCGGGTTCTATGACATGTGGGAACTTTTCAGCCCAGATTTTACCACCGTGCAAGCAGCTAACCAGATAATGAAACCTTCAAAGAGCTGGAGAAGGGGTTTCACGAATCATTGACGCAGACAGAACAGCCATAGATTCTGTGGACAAGCAGCTGCCTTAGACAAGCAGCAAGGTGAAACATGTATTACGTCCGGAAGTATTTTTTCGGTGTTAAAGCTGTGTGTTTGTGCATCTGTTTGTCTGTACACAGTAGGTTGACACCTCGTGGGTAGGGGAAGATCGACAGGCAAAATGACAGCATGACAAAGATCTCGATATAAGAGAATCATGAAGCCAATGATGAGAGAAAGTACTGAGAGAAATATACAATGACTGTATCTTGAATTTGGATCATATATGTAGCAAGCTTTACAAACTTTTTAAAGAGTTTACATTTTGTGTAACATCTTTATGTGTTATGATGTATGTGACTATGAAAATATAACATATAAGTGTACCGAAATGGTTGCCTGCATTTTTGTAGTAAGAACTTTTGCGGTAAAAACATCACCAGATTCGGATTTAATAAATGAAAGTTTATTGCAAATACATGCCCGAGGGCTAATTGCAGTTACAAACAACATAAGAAAGAAAATACAGTGGTATGTGAGACTATATCTACGTCTAGCATTATACTATATTCTACAACATGCATAGTACTAGATTTACTGGGTTTGACTTCTTCTTTTTAGGCAGTGGAAGACGAATTTACCCACTTCTTCTATAATATGTGGGTTCTTTGATTTTAGTAGTAAAAATGTTTTTTTGTGGTAGGGAACGGTGGGGAAGTAAGGGAGTATTTTGGACACGGTGCTAAATAATTGTTTTCTGATGTCGTCATAAAATGGACAGTTAGAGATGAAATGAATTTCGTCTTCCACTGCATTTGAGGAGCAATATTTACAAATTCTCTCCGACACAGGCAGTTTCATATATCGCCCTTTTTCGATTTCCAGGGGGTGGGCACTGATTCTAATTTTACTAATAGCGGAGCGCTGCTCGAAGTCACAGTGTTCTAGGTATTGTTCTAGACAGTATTCAGTTTTACATTTTCTATAGAATCTCACTTTACCGGTATTAACAGACAAGCTATGGAAGAAAGTTTGAATGTACATGTCTGAAAGTCTTGTCCTTAATACTTTATACATATGTTGAGGATCACAGGTTGTACTATCAATATGCAGTAGGTAGGAATATCCACAGTGGTCGAGGATCTCCTTCACCCGCTGTAACAATGTCCGTCTACGACTATATGTCAGGGAATTACGTTGTAACAGGAGTGCATCAACTTATCCAACAATGACTGATAGTTCCACAGGCGCCGCATCGACAGACTTTGTGTGGCGGCAGCAGCCTCTAACCTATTGAGTATTGTGTAATATTCTGAAAACGACCTTGCACATGCCGTTCCCGTAGGATCTTATTCAAAGTTAGCAGGTACGTGAAAAACCGTGCAACCTAGCAATTTGCCTGTGCCAAAGCCTGTAGCTTAACACTGTGCCCTTTCCTGGAACAGGAAACGTTTTGGGGGCATCGCGGGAGTCCGCGGATTGATCATGCGCCTGGTGAGCCACTCTCCTCGTACAGCCGGGGGCGCCGGAGTCAACCCGCCACATTTACAGCGTGTGGCAAAATTTACTCCGCTGGGGGAGCGACGCGAAGAATTCATCGGCTAACATATTTTTTATCTGTCGACGTTTTGGCAGCTGATACTCTGTTGTCAAATCGCCCTGATGCCCAGAGCAACTTCTAAAACATCGGCAGAGAAAATAGTAATTATGTGTAGGTAAGAAAACTAAACTTAACTTTCAGTCGAAAACTATCTACAAAAAAAACTTTGCCGAAACAAATAAAGAAATATTTGCACAAGTAAGCGTGGATTTTGAAGTGGACCTTTATATGTAAACACAAAACATTGTTCTCTGTTGAACATCTTCACGTTGTTCCCTTCTTCCTGCAAATACATGTACAAAATGTATTGTGATGTGGTTAAGCCCCAAATTCTTACAGATTAAATTATTTTTCAACGTTGGGACAGAAATGTTCTGTGATCAAAGCGTCTTAAGTCTTATAATTAGGATCTTTTAAATGTATAATTGTCTCGTGTACCATTTTTTTACCATGCTATTTCGTAAGAGCCACCTTAAGTTTATTTGTGCAAAAATCAACCACTTTTTATAATAACAGTCTTTCAGCTTTATTTCATCTATTTTCTTTAACCGGAGCAAGTTGAAGTACGCTCAGGCCGTGTGTAATCTGTTTTCCATGTATCACTGGGTCTAACATGTGCATTGTTTTAAGCAAACCTTGACATTTGATGTCCCTTTCAAGACTTTTAAACCTATCTATTTTTAAAGGTTGTCACTGCTTTGATTAATAATCACTCAGCTTGTTTTCCACACCGACCGATTGAAACACTCCTGGCGTCACCGTAATCTCCCTAAGCTTGGTTAACGCTCCACCATATTTAGGCTGCGCTGTGATGCAGCCCGGGGAGAAAGCCTGACGTATAGAACGTCTCCTACCAGGTCACATACATCCACCAACCTGACAAAATGTGCCGCAGATCGTTATCGTACAAAAATGTGTTAGTAGAACTTCTTAAATCCGACCAAGTAGCACCAGTTACTGTAGTCGGTACATTTCTCTTCAATCATTAAAAGCATTGGTAAACGGCATTCGTACCCTTTTCGACTATTGTCGTATGCATGATCAATGGTCGAAATCTACTGTAGCATAGACACACGGCTGGTTTTGATGTTTATGACGGATGATGTACGAATCTATTGGCAAAATTTCAAAACAGTGTATCCGTTTGTTGTATCCTTCTTAACCGTTTTTCACTGACATTTGTACATGAAACAATCGTTTGACTGTGGAAATAACTCGGCGACGGCCGGCATGTTGTAAAGCTGTTGAGCGGTGCACCGCCGCCTACTCAATAACGCCGGCGAAATTACATACACTGTCTCCTGCTGCTGCTTAATAACGGAAGATGGTGGTCGTGATGTGGGAGAAACTTCTGGAGCCAATGCAGTCTGAATCATTCCGCGTTTTAGCAACCCTAAGTCAAGGGCGAATGAGTCAACCGTGCACAACGCACTCTATTACATTCCGCCTTCTTCCTTCAATATTCTAACGCAATTTCCCCCTAATACCCCCTCTCCACTGAGGCAGCAGCCGTGGAGCGACTAAACATCTCACAGGAGTGCAAAGGAATTGAATTTCTCTCATGATAGATAAGTGTACTTTTTTATTTTGTAAGTTTTGTTGTCATAAAAAGCAAACATAGACAAGCACGAGAGAGAGAGAGAGAGAGAGAGAGAGAGAGAGAATGTACTCAAGTACTTTCCATATTTCCATAGCCATCATTCTTGCAACAAAATACACGGTAAACATCCCATCCACACACTAGTCATATTCTAAACATGACAATAAAACTAGTAGAAAAGTAAAATATAATCCTGAAATATGTTTGGATAAATCTAACATTGCCTTCATGAATCATGTACATTGGTGTTCTTAGGTCTCCTCCTTTGAACCTCTCCCATGCCATCATGACAAGTTCTCATTGCGTAGCAGTACGTATATTCCATATTCCTATTCGTACACGAGCATGTCCAGACCTGTTACATGTACATTGGAAATTTTCCTAGTAAATGATAATTATTTCTTACCCTGTCATAATCCTTCCCGTATATACAGTACGAGTACTATCCATCTCCCTATATCTCCCTCTAAATACACCTTATATGGACCATATATTTGCATATACTTCTCCGGAGTTTCTAACGTTTAACTTGAATACTTCTGTGGTATGAAATATGAGGTTGAAAACCAAATGCTGCCCATGTATATAAAAAGGTTAGTCACACACATTCATCTGCTTACAAAAAGATCGACGCTGGCATATTTGTCACAGGGAGGTCGGGCAGTGTTCTCTCTAAGTCACCTTGTGGTTAGACGCACAGACGTATGTCAGAACCAGACTTGACTCGCAAACAGGAATGAAAAAGGGCACCGGCATAGAACTATCAGGGCGGCAAGAGACACAGACACTGTGAAAACGTCATTAATTCTCTGTCATGAGACGGTATTTGTTGCCTACCATACGCCGAATGGGTGAAGAATGGCATATTTCTTGAACTCTACAATTTTTCTACACTTTTGGATAGGAACCAAGAAACAAATGATAACGGCATGTGGTTGTCCTTTGTTATTTGCAGGTTGTCACATACACGATAACTGTCGAGAAAACACTGCCTGGACAACTTGTGCTAGTGTCTTGACTAGAGACTATGTAATATTTAATATATGTAGGAAGTTAGTAGCAGTATATATCATTCCATGAGTTTTCTACAATGCTTGCACCTCTGACAATGTCTACATTGTCTGCAGGACCGACCGTTTTCTCTCTTGCTGCGTCGGCAACGTTTACACACGTGCTTTCCTCTGGCCAATCTGCATTTCTTACAAAACTGAGAAGGAATTCAAAAGAAGTTAGATTAATATAAACAACGAAAACAAATCAGTTTAACCATTCATAAAGTAACTGCAGCTGTGTTGTTCATATTTGTAGAAGATACTTATTCTTTATCAACTGAAAGCAAGGCCATTTCTGGGCACTGAACTAAGTTAGTTGGAGGTAAACAGGACTAGTCACATAAAATTAAGATTGTTACAGTTATCAGGAACAGCATGTCCCTTGCGCTTTCGGCATGAATGAATGAATGAATGAATGAATCTTTATTCAACCGGCAGACTCACATAAAGCCTGAATTTAGTTGAATTTACACCATTTTTGCGTACAAAGTAATACAAACATTATCAATTATTCACATTAAAACACACTTATCATAAAATGCATCACGGTGTTGTTTGAGGGATACATGTACACTTCAAGAAAGTTTTATGTTACCTTTCGCCTTGTCTTTTTCGAACACACCACATCCTTGAAATCTATAACAAAATGAGACATTTGTTGGCGTAAGGGCATTACTTATAAAAGACCAAAAGCACGACTGTCACAATGGAAAAATTCCTCCTAGTCAGGTAAAGGTATTTACCGGTTATAACAGGAGAGGGCACGTGGGTGTCGAACTCAGGCTGGTCCATAACCAAGGGCTCTGTGGTTGAAGAAGGACAAAACAGTCGTCAATATTGCAATGGTAATTACTCCAAAACATCTATCTAACTGTTATTGCTGACTTTCCATAAGCTATCATAGCGTATGGGAATATTTTGACCAGGTATTCCTACGGGAAATTAGTAGTTCACACTTGTAATCCTGCTACATACATTATCAGCTAGTTAGTTAGTTAGTTAATGATATACTTTGCTTGTCATTGTGGATGAAAAGTACCTCCATTGAAGGCCTCAAGATCGAGGATGCTGGACGCCACCACTCCGGTCTTCGCGTCCTCCGCTCTGCGGGGCCGGTTGGGGTTTCCTGGTATACAGCGGTGAGATAACACATGCATGTCAACAACAGGTCTCTGATCCACCATGTACCTACGATGGGTGGGTTTTCACGACAAGCGTGCCACACGTCGTAGATTTGAAAAGAAGAGAGTGTTAGAGTTTTAAAATCATAACTATTACACTCGTTTCTACTCGAACCTTCTTAGTAACATACGCAATATCGTCGTACGAAGAAAAAAACCAAGTATGTACGGTATATGTGACCGGGGCTTTACTAAACGTTAGTAGAACAGTTCTGTACACGATCAGTTTGAAATAAGGAGGTCCAACATCATTAGGTGCTGACACTACCACGGCGCATTGCTTATGTACAGAGGGATTAGCAATCACGTGTCAGCCTAGACACTCAGCCGAGAACCTTAGTCGAGACTCTATATGTAGATTTTGCTGGGATTTTGTACAAGAAAGCAAGCGTCTTGACCTATTGTACGAGGTCTGGTCGCTTTTGGGGGGCTACAATTCCTACATCCGACCTGGCCCACAGAAAATACGCCTGTAATCGGATAATGTTATCAGAGCCCGAAGTTTAGCGGGAAAATGTCCATTGTTAGTAGAGACAAAGTGGATATTAGTGGGAGCCGACATACTGACACAGACGTCCCGGCACCAGGATGCCAGATTAGAGAACTATTAAGATGTGTATGATAGCCCTGTCTGGTGCGCGGGATGGCAAGGTCGTAATGCAGGCTCGGGAAACTATTCATCATGCATGAAAGTCCATCTGAGTGACTGGTTTATGTCAATACGATCGTATTCAATAACTGTAGCGGCCATCTTTAGAAGGAAAAGAAATTCAACAGTCCTCTGGTCTTCTAAGCGTGTCGGCAGAACGTACCGCGGCTGCGCAAAATCTGTTATGTATTGTGCTCGTCTATGGTTTTCAAATGTTGTGTCGGAAAAGATACCGTCTTCAACAGGTAAAATCTGCTGCAACGTTCACCGTGAAAAATCCACGTTTCGCGCAGTACGTTCTGGTCTTCTTCAGGATAACTGATGTCCATATTCTTTGTTCACGTGACTAATCACTCTTTGAACGTCTAAGATGAGTCTTGTCTTAGAGTTTCCTAATAGATAAATTAATTATGATGCAAACACTCACCGCACAAACTGTCATAACACGTGTTGTTGCCGTCTTGACACTGACTACAAGGTTTGCCTGCGGTGTACGGTTTCTGGTAGGCTCTGTTTCCTCTGAGGGGAAATAACATAAATACATAAACAAAAACGGCACAACATTTCTGTTGGAAAAGGGCCAGATAAATATGAATGAATTACTCTTTACTAGATAGTTATTATAGTATATAGCCGTTACCTAGGAGAGTAATCGCACACGATGACGTAACTGTTGCGCCACCCAAGACCCTGCAGGATGTCACACATTTTCACGCCACATCCGATCTCGCGAGACTTGGCCCAGACCACCTGTAAGGGAAGCTGACGTCATCAAAATGGCAGATACGGGTCAATGGGACAGCATGTCACACTGGTATCTAGCCTTTATAAAAACAGCTCGTATCTTCCAAGCAAAAATTCAGTTTCTTCTCATGATAAATGCACAAATAATGACCATCTATCATATAGATACCAGTGAGTAGCAAAATTACGGTGTGTATACAACACCGAAAAAAATAGACACTTAAGCAAACTAACGGCCCATTTACTAAACAAGAGATTATAAACTTAATTACAATGAAAACTGCTATATTTATCTGACAAATTGATTTGTATGTTTACAGTAGCAGCTATCAAAACATGGCATCTTTGTCGTGAGTGTGGCCTTTACTCAAAGCAAGTGAAAACGCTCGCAGAGCATGCTCTATGACCCCTCTATCTTGTATAACATGTTGAAACAGCTGTAAACGTATTTGACTAGCCTATCACTAAATCTATGACTATGGCAGCCCTAACAGTGGCCGGGATGGGACTCACTGACAGTCACACAAGACACTATACACGGTCATCAATAACACCAGAGTGCGATCATCATCTCTCAGGGTGGAAGGATGTCTACTGCACCATCACTGAATATACTACGTTGTTTGAAACGTTATAACACGTGTCGGTGTGTATCTGGGCAATGCAAATAACGTTCCATTCCCACCTGAGTATAGTGTCCGCACCTCTTATCAGTGCATGTGTCGGTAGTGTAGGAGTACTTCTGTCCCTCTTCGAACCACCGCTTCGTTTCCTCCCCTGCTCTGTACTTTTCTGGGGAAACATTGGGATTTGATTTACGGTATTGAATCCATAGTTTACATAGCAATGATTAATCGAATCCTCTGCCACACATTTAGGACTTGCCCTCGACTTTGCTCGCGACCACTCCCCAGCCAAGGTCGACTGAAATGAATACGAGCAGCTTTCTAACGCGAACGTTTTGAGTCCGATGGTAAAAAGGTTGAAAGAAGGTATCCTGCAATCCACAGTAATAGTTGCTAGATGTCACCTTTCCATGGTATATAAAGGCCGAATTGACTTACCTTGTTGTGACAAAGCTTAAGGATCATTCAAAATGATCTTTTAAAAATTAGAATGCGTAGGTCTTCACGATGCATATCACTCGAGCAAACACAAACGGCAAGATAGATATGTAGAAAATTTGATCCAAAGCGTTTTCTCCTACCCAGTGTAAAATAAATGTTTTCTCCAACCGGTCCTTTGAACCGCTCCTCCCGCCGTATGTTCTGTGTGTACACACACTGGTCTGCCCAGTCCTGCGCGATAGCCGCCAGCTTCTCGTTCCACACCTGAGAAAAACACAACGGACCTAAGTCTGATTATGGACTGATAACTGCTTCTGCTTGGTTTCTTACATATATGCTTTGTGTTTATTTATCCTTATCATTTGTGTATTTCTGCATATATGTTTAATTTATTTCATGTTGCTTATGTGCCATTTTTCCCAATGTTTTATGTTTTCTGGTCCCTTGTTGTAGGGGCTTTACATGTAGACGTTTTGAAGATTAAGCAAATAGATAAATAAACCATGTGTGATCACGGATCTATGAGTGTTTTGATGTAAAGTAATAAACATAGTTATTGTGGGAGTTGCAAATGTTCACACACACTTACTCTGCTTTCAAATACATGTGAACTTGTTTTGTGCCCTTTATAGTATAATGTATACACAACTACATATACTTTCTCACAAGAATGTTCTATGCAAATTGTTAACAATGAAACACATCATTCAAACATAATGATGCTATAATATACGTTGTTAAACAGGTGGCCTTCGGTTTAAGTAATGGTCGCAAGGTGTCGCATCTACTTGCTGGTAGTATTCACTGCTTTGACAAACCGAATCTGTAGAGCTCAGATTTATGACAACATGTTTCCCAATCATGTCGGCACAGCGGGACTGGCATTTGTAAGGACAGCGGGGGACTGATAACTGCCGATACACTGGGAACGAGATTGGCAAGGTCACAAATTGGCGACAAAAGTTGGCGCGACCTTCATGGCAAGCTTCCCAATCACAAAGGACCAGTCCATTCAAAGGTAGGGGAGTCTGGACCTCCAGATACGGAACGGCAATTAGAATAGCACGTTTCAATGATCACGTATAAAGAAGGTCTCCAAGTTCAGACGGCAAACTTTATTTGCATTTAATATTGCAGTATTATATATTACAACATGTATACTGCAAAAGTTGAAAGTTTAGCTTTGTTATTTGTATGTTAAGTCGAACATCATAATGTGTACATGTATTTTCTGGCTCTTGAATTTTTCAAACCTCACATTTCAACATTTCCGTCTCTAGATGATCTTGTTATCTTGTAAATCATTCCATGTCCAGGGTGTTTTCATATAAGGATTGGGCTTTCAAAAGAATGAGTGGAAACGTTTCATAGATATAATGAAATTAGAGGACGTCGAGTCCATGCTCCCTCCTGTGGCCGGTTTGATTGACAGCCAAGATCTGTACCCCGGTGATTCAATCATAAAACCGGGGCTAGTCTGCCAGTTACCTGCGGAGACACATAAAGATGATGCAACACGTATTTCAAACCTCAACTGAAAATAACGGTGGGAATTTAAAATTTGGCGTCTTCAAAAGTTAGTCCGACTCAACACTCCTAGTCTGCACCAGACTAACAACGTGGGCTAAAAAAATACAAAACTTTTCCCAAATATGGAGAATAATTTGCTAGAGAATTTGGCCACCATAGAGTTGATTTTACCCTTACAGCGTTAGCGGCTCTCTTTCCTTGCCAATCATTGTATTTGACCCCATTATTGTCGTACTCTCCGTAACACCTTAAGAAGGCCAGGTAGAAGTTAACCAACCCTCCCTCTCTGTTCTAAAGGTGCAGCAGTCCGTGTAAAGCGTGGAATGTTGGCCAGTTTTTCGGTCATGGCTGTTTGGCAGAGTGCCATGCCGCCTGCCTGACTAACATGTCACCTTGTGTGTTCAAGGGAGCGCGGTAAACACAGAGGTCGGCCAGATGTGAAAGGAACTGTTGTCCGCAATTATCCCACGTCTCCTGAAGTGTGATAAGTTATGCACATGGTGGTTGCGTGAAGAGTGCCTGTAATATAGACCGAGGATCTCGTGCCAAGACCCAGCATGTATACACCTTAAGAACTTACGAGATAGTCCTCTAACATTTACACAGCTGTAAGACATTCATACAAAACCGTATCTGTGTCCTTTCCCGCTACATTTAACTTCGGATAAGGTATCCTCCTGTTGATGGACACTACCTGACATTTGAACCACTTTCTTTCACAAGTGGAACATTTTTCCTCCACAGAATACAGGCTTGCAATTTATGTTATATCGAAATTTGACGCTTCTGAAGAACCGCAGGCCACTACACGGATTTAGTGTACATAGGTCACACAGAAGCGTGAGTGTAAACAAGATTATGGCACGGCTCTAAATAGATTGAAACGCTTGATGACATTTCTTAAGGCTGACCCATACTAAAATTAGAACGTTTTAGAACGTAAGAAGTTTTAGAACGTAAGACTGATTTTGAAACACAGACATACTAAGTTACGACGTATTCATGTTACTGAGCACTTTCAATTATACAAATTAGGTACAAGAGGGGCCGTCAAGATACTTGAACAACTCAATGTCAAACGTACCATGTACTCCATGTCTGCTGCAGTTGGCTGCACGCTCTTTCTAAACTCGTTATGTTCGTAGAGAATGGCGTCGATCTCGTGGGTTGTCAACACAGAAGAGGCCAGGATTTCTCGCAGGTAGCCCGCGCCCACTAGTAGCAAGAGGCGCCACATTTTCCTCCCACCTTTGCTTGGCAAAGATCAATGAATAACCAGGTCGTGGGGATTTTCTAACCTATGGTTCGCGAGGGACTTACCGACCAAGAGGGTCAGCGATAGTAGTCAGTGCTGGGCAAATAGAGTGACGCTCTGTTTGCAGTTTACCGTGTGGGTGTGCATGTGGGTGGAGTTAGTGTATGGAGCGGATACCGCTATTGTTTGTGGCAGGCTGCGAGGAAGGGCGAACATTTCCGCAGTTATTTGCCTCTCATAGACAAGTGTTACGTATGTTTAGTCTGTATGTGTTGAAGGGTACTTAAGTCTTTACTGGAGACATTTATCGTACTTTGACGTCTGGCAAATATTTTAGAAACGCAAAGTAGGCGAAAGAGACGGATCCGTCATACACCGTAGTGATTCTGTTATGGGCCATGCATGTTGAGGGGATATTTGTATGGCTTTCGGAGGCCCTCCTTTCGTGCAATGAGGTTTGCATGTCATCATCAGTCATGTAAAGATTCTCTTGCTGGACAGCGCCACCTAGCATCCCGATGGAATATTACCAGACGATGTCTTGCCAAAATAATTTGCCAACGATTCTATTACAAGTGAACCATAATAGGCGTTAGAAGACCTTTACCACATATTCATGCCTCGATAAATGTATACAGACTAGGTCGCATGACTTAATAAACATATCGTATGACTCAATAAACATCATACAACAGAGAAATATATAGGCAAGAAGAGACGACAAACATTAAACGTACAATAATAATATAATATAACATATAGTAGACAAGAGCGTTGAACCAAACTAAAACAATAGGTGACAAGAATACAACTGAAGTTCTATACAAATTCATTGATACATCATCACTTAATACACGAAGTAAGATTAACGAGGTGTCACCTAAAATACTGAAGTATATTCGTCTACAAAGGGTTGATTCTAAGCCTCTGATACAATGCACAATGTCACGTGACAGATCATTCGCCCAATGAGCGTTAGCGCAGAGCAACAAATTTTCAACGGAAACATCGATTCTTAATTAAATGGCAAAGTGTGCCACAGCAAACACAACCTTATGCTCTAATCATGATGCTTACATCGATCAAGACACTGTGGTGCCACATACTGAGGTACCAGTTGTCAGTAGAGAACTATCGTTGCAGACTGAATGACCGACATGTGTATATTTTCTAATTAGGTTATAAAACGTACAAAGGAGGTTATATATAGACTGAGTGTCAGCCTTGTTAGCTTTCGTCCGATCCCCAAGATCCGCTCCCCACCAACAATCTTGGCAGGGAGCGCATCTTGGGAGCGGACGAAAGCTAACAAGGCTGACACTCAGGCTAGGTCATTAACCTTGTGCTTATAAACAGCTCAATGATTGTCACTCGCATTAGTACGGCACCGCAACAGGTCGTTGCGCGATTTGATTATAGAATTTTTAATCCGTGACAGGACCAACAACCGACAAGAAACTAAGGCATCAAAGACAGCTCAAGTATGTGGATTTCCTATATAACCCCATTGGTACGACATATGCACGACTATCACAAGAATGTCCTCAGTTTGTGATCGTATGAAGATCATACGACCGGTCCCTTACAGTCGCATTGATACGGAAACTACAGCCACAGCATACATCAATATAAAACAGTCATGGACAGATAAAATATATTAATAAATGTATAATTTTAGAGAAACATATATCCACACCAAATTCCAAATATACAATACTTTCAAATTCTACTTTATATAACGCTAAATTTACAACTGCAATGAATATTGCTTATAATCATGTTTATTATTATACATCACACATTGACAGAAAGAACAAGAGTTCAGGGATCTCAAGAAGATATTTGAGAAAACACAGACAACTTATCAACGTATAGTCAAATAGAGACGAGTATCATTACATACCAGCACATCAGCCTCATAGTCCTACTAAGGTTGTGGGTAAGGTTGGTGGTTAACGCCCCTCAAAAGTGGAAACATAACAAACACGTTATTTCGATCCAAAGTTAGCTTAACAGCTATACTGTACTTACCAGTTGTCCATTGCATACTGCAATACAACAATATACATGTAGAATAGCAACTGCCATACAATAACATTTGACACATGGGGTTGTGTGGCGTAACCGTAGAGTATTCGGCTCAGACCCAAGAGGTCCCGCGGGTACCTGACCGATGCCACCGATCTTTTGCCCTTATTAGCAAAGGCACTTAATACGACTTCCTCACTTCACTCAGGTGTAATTGAGTACCTAGCTTCGATTAGGGACGTCCCTCGGATAGGACGTTAAATTGAGGTCCCGTGTTTGGGACAGCCACACCCCACACACGTTAAAGAACCCACCACACACGAAAAGAGTAGGGGTCCTGTAGAGAACCTTCCCGGTGTGAGTAGTTTAAACCTTACTGTCTGGTCTTACGCAGCTTGTACTTGCATGTATAAACTGGTGTGTTACGCCTAAAAAGGCGGTTTACCGGTTATGCGTAACAAACAAACAAATATGGTATCAACACAGACCACCATACTTAAAATACAATACATGGTATCCATTAAACAACAGTCTTATCTTGTGAAGTATGACGCGTCTCACAGCTACCATTGCACATCAATCATCTGTCATCAAATATATAATCAGCTTAGCTGCATTTTTCAATGAGGTTTAAAAAGGCCGTAGTTTCGCTCTCTACGCCGTCTCCTGTGTTGAAGTCTGATCTTATATCCCCTTGTAGGACAGCACCAGGGCGTTCTTGGACAGCATGCCCGGCCGGCCAGACCTGTCCTTCCCCAGCAGCCAGTAGGTGGCGTCGTTCTCATAGGCAAACATGGCCTGAAATACGACGGGTGATCTTGATGATCAGGTGGTACACATGAATCTAAGTATTTTGTTTGAATCATGAATCTAAGTTTGGGCTTGTCTGTGTGTCTATGTTCGTGTGTTTTTCTCTTTCTTTCTCTCACTCTCTCTCTCTCTCCAAACACGCGCGCGCGCAGCACTTGTTTCCTTGCAAGCTGTCGACGTCTCCAAAGATTGAAATCTAGATACCTGTAACGTTACGTGGTAATTAGTCTGCTGATTGAACAGTGCTCGAACAGGTCATGATAACCACAGCGGGAGCGAGAGATAACCCTGCTACAGGTGGGAGATAGTGTGATACAGGCTAAGTGCTAAGTAACTAAACCAATCACACACAGGATGAAGAAATTTTACGACAAGATGTGATGCAGACTTAGGGTCGACAGCTTTAAAAAAGCTTCATTACATAAGACCCGTTCACCGTTACGTCCGATGATATCAAGTACCTGCTTTTAATTTGGGGTCAGTTGAAATAAGCTTATGATAATAACATCACTAGTCCATCCTTGCAAATTGCCCTACTTTTTATGTATTTCTGTACGGACATGGGCCGAAAGCCCGAGACAAATGTAGAAACATGAAGCTCACTAACCGCCACTTCTGAGGGTGTCTCCGAGCGCTGCGTCACGGTGTAGCCGCCGAGTGTCTCCAGAACCTGCTGGGTGGTAGATGATATCTGGATCCTGTCGGCTGGAGTCACACACAACAATCTGTCAGTATCATCATCAGTTGGTGTGCGTGCGTGCATGCGGTGTGTGTGTGTATGTGTGTGTCTGTGTGTTTGTGTGTTTGTGTATTTGTGTGTGTGTGTGTATGTGTATGTGTATGTGTGTGTCTGTGAGTGTGTGTTTGTGTATTTGTGTGTGTGTGTGTGTGTGCGTGCGTGCGTGCGTGTGCATGTGCGTGCATGTGTGTGCGTGTGCATATTTGTGTATGTGTATGTGTATGTGTGTGCGTGTGCGTCTTTGTGTATGTATGTATGTATGTATGTGTGTGTGTGTGTGTGTGTGTGTGTGTGTGCGTATTTGTGTATGCGTGTATGTGTATGTGTATGTGTGTGCGTGTTTGTGTGTGCGTGTGCGTGTTTGTATATATATATGTGTGTGTGTGTGTGTGTGTGCGTGTGCATGTGCGTGTTTGTGTATATATATATATATATATATGTGTGTGTGTGTGTGTGTGTGTGTGTGTGTGTGTGTGTGTGTGTATGTCTGTGCGTGTATATATGTGTGTGTGTGTGTGTGTGTGCGTGCGTGTGCATGTGTGTGCATGTGTGTGCGTGTGCGTATTTGTGTATGTGTATGTGTGTGCGTGTGTGCGTGTTTGTGTATATATATATATATGTGTGTGTGTGTGTGTGTGTGTGTGTGTGTGTGTGTGTGTGTGTGTGTGTGTGCGTGCGTGCGTGCGTGCGTGCGTGCGTGCGTGTGTGTGTGCAAAGTGACCGGCATGGAGGCAGTTAACCATTACTACGTACACACATGACGTCGTGAAAGCAGCGGTTTTCCGGATACCTACCTTCTCCGGTCGTCTGTAGTTTATGTGCGATGCTGACGGTTCGTCCGAACACGTGGTAGCGTGGGCGCTTGTACCCCACCACACCAGCCACACATGAGCCTGCAGTTAGACAATTATAAACATCATTAAGTCATCAGAATGGACTGGTCAGTGGAACAGATCGAGGAAATATCGGTACAATCTGCACCTGAGGAACCCGCATTTTTAATAGTTATTATGAGACCGTAATAACATTGGCCAGACAGCCATGGCTGATGGATCTTAATGCGTTGCTCACTCGGTGGTTTATTCGGTTGTCATGGGAACCTGTCAGGCGTCATACATGCGCTTTAGATCGGGATTAATTCAATTTGCAATAAAACAATTATTACCGCTCGGATGATAGACATACTGTTGCTAGTTTTCTCCTGATGTCAACACACCATAAGTCATTTTAAAGAACTGATATGCGTTAGCACGTGCCTAGAACGTAATGCACATACGTTATCTGATGGCTGCTTGGTCAATCTTGCACCAGAATAACGTGTTGCATACGATTTCCTTTGTGACACAATCATAAGGCCGGGCGACATGCTATCACGCTCTGGGTATGCGTGTTGTATACATTTAACCTGGATTACTTCTATTCGAATACCATGCCTTTCTGGCGGCACGTGATTGAGTCATTGAGTCATTTTCCTGTGCAAGGCAAATATTTAGAATTCTTAGAGCGTGATTGTTGCTGATTTTATTTTACTT